GGAGATAATTGAGAATTTGAACTAAAAAAAATTGGTATTTAAAATCATTAAAGAAGAGCTTAATCAAACATAGTAATCTTATATGAAAAAAAAAGATAAAAATCAAAAGAAAAGGAAGATTTGAGAAAACTAAAATCAAGTGTGTTGTATACATGAACTTTAGACGAGAAACTTGAAGTTAAGCTTGAATTTTAAACTTGGTACATGCCTCTTGTCTAAAAGTTAGAAATTCAAGAATCTACTTAACTTTAAATTTAGGATACCAATTTTTAAGAAATAATAATTGAGTTAGCTTATTTGAATGATTAGGCAAAGTAAAAATATGTATATTTGAGAAATAATCTTATTTTAGTAACTAAACATACATAATTTAGGGGCAATTTTATAAAAAAATGTTAATACAAGTTATGCAAGGATATTGGAGGTTTCTAAGAAAGTTCAATCTTAAGAAAAGATTTATGCATATAAAATAATGTGTTTACTCTTTATTAAAGAACATTGATATTAAACTTAAATCTACCATTACTTTTTAATGGCTCTAACTTTAAATACTAAATTACTTGATCGAAAGTAATGTTTAAGTTTTGGGGTATCTGATGTGCATCAAGTATACATATTATTTTTATGATATTTTTAAGTTTTTTATGGTATTTATGATGTATTTCATAGGACTTAGGTTAAAATACCAGAGTTGAAGAAGTGAAAAATTGAGCAAAGTAGCTGAGCAGCTCCTAGTCACCAGAGTGAAGCACTTATACACACATGAAGCAAGAATTCAATCTAGAATCTAAAGAAAGCAGAAAATAGACATTGAGTTTGTTGTGCCTAAACAACACAACCTAAGCGCATAGACTCCAAAAACTCTTACACCAGGGCCACAGTAGATAGAAATTAGGTGTCAGATTGCTAGTGCTCACACTTTAGAAACCAGCGCTTAGGCACTAGTTAAAGCAGTTGTTGTTTTAAAACATATTTATTAATTATAACACAAATGCTAAAATATACAAAATATTGCACAACACAAAAACTTGATAAAAAATAAATATTTTTTTTGTTGAATTATTCAACATCGTCTAATTTACAATATATAAACAATTACACAATGAATAATTTGTAAATCTCCATAAATATTAGTTTGTACAAAGATTGGGTAAATAAAATACCAAAATTTTATCAGAAAAATAGCAAAATTAAAAATCTGATGTAGGTTAGTAGTAGCTGAAGACCTCATCCGTTTTCTTACCCCAAAATCATCGACTAAATAGATAGGATTGTAGAGGTGGCCCCTACATATTTAAAAGATGGCTCCCCCATATAGCACTTTGTCCCATTTCGAGTTCAAGAGATAACTGCTATGGCGTAGCACTTTGTTTTGTATAACATTTATTTTCCATCTTTCGGTTGGTGTAATGCTCTGATACCATTTCTGATAGCTCGAACTCTCACCCATCTATGTATTGTCTGCTTTGCTCATATGGCCTCATGATTTTGCCTTGTTGGTGCAACTTCCAAGTAGGTCACTCATCCTAGGAGTGCCCCTGGATGAGCACACTTAATTTTGGAGTTTCTATTAAAAATCTATTGTTACACCAAAAGATGCCTCGATGTTTAAGAGTTTGGCTTCAATCAACTTAGAGATCATCTTTTGTATGGACAAGTTCATCTTCTAAGAGAGTTCATCTCCTATAAGATCTATTCTTTAGAATGCGTTCATCTCTTGATAAGTTCATTATCTTAAAGAGTTCATATTCTATGATTATTTTTCTCTAATTCAGCTCCTGGATCCTGGGAGAGTTCATTTTCTAGACGAGTGCATCACTCTGGGAGAGTTATTCTTCTAGATAAGTTCAAATCCTGAATGAATTTATTTCCTAAGAGATTTGTTCTCTTAAACGAGCTAGAGCAATTGTCTGCCTTGAAGTAAATATAAGGGTTTTTTTCTATATACTTATTTCTTCGATTCTTTAATATTTTCAAAATGTAAGTGCAAAAAAATAAAAAAAAAATGATAATAATTTTATTCATGGCCCAATGATAAAAATTATATCTCATATCTGTATAGAGTTAGTATCTATTCTTTTGTTTAAAGAATGAATTTTTTAGATATTTTATTTTTCCTCAAAATGAAACAATTTAAGTAAAACATGGCTAATTTCACTAAATGCCAACTTTTTATCTACTAGTATGCTCTTAGCGCTTCTACAGGGAATCATATTTTGGGTATTTTTGCTATACCTATAAATTACATTCCTAATCCATTTTGGCTCACATTTAGGGAATAATCTCGTAACTTATCACCTCAACCTCAATTTTATATATTTTTTATTCAGTTTGTTTGCTTGATTGAGTTGATGTTGAACCCGCTTTGTGGGTGAGTTCTCTGAGTGTGATTAGTGAACTTCATTTTTTTATAATAATATTGCATACTTTATGTGACTATATTTATTATTATTATTTGATGTAACTTAGTTATAAATAAATTCAAATAATCTTTTTAAGTTAAGACTATCATTTACCAAAGGGCCATGACTCTCATGTAGAGAATAGTTGTCGTATTTTTTCCAATTTAACCAGGTCGAGATATCATGATCTTCAATTTTAAAGTTAACTACTTTCATTCTTTATTTATGTGAGTTATATTTGAAAAATAGTTTATCTAAAGTCATCGTTAGCTCTCGACTAATATGTTGAGTAGGGTCTAAAAGTTGAGAGACATTCTTTTCGGTCCAAACAAACTTAACTACAAGTTGTGAGTTATGTGAGTTATAAGTGAGTCGATTTTTCTAAGTACTGTGGGCAAACATGCTTCATATGATAAGTAATGTCCTCATTACTTATAATATATTTATATAACTACTTATTCATTAAATTACATGCATGGAGTTAACCAATGACATAACATAATAAAGTAAAAAAAATAAAGAAAAAAGAAGGGAGTTTTTGAGAGATTCTTACTATGAATCTATTTAAATAGAATGAAGCTTAACTTGATAACATTGGGTACCTTTTAATGTAACGATTAGAATTTTTTCAAAAACTTCAAAGTTAAGTGTGCCCATTTGGGAGTAATCCTGGATGGGTGACCTCCTAAGGAAAAGTTACACTAATCTGACAATGCTGTGAGGCTATTAGACCAATGCAGATAATATCTTGATGGATGAGAGTTAAAGCTATTATAAATTTTATCCCAATATTACACCAATTCGAAGATAAAAAATCTAAATGGTGAATGATTCTGGGTTAAGAGAACTGACAATAATGTTAATTGCTTTAGTGAGGATGATTGTGTGACCTTTTAAGTAGAATGAAGCTGAAGTTTTAAACATGGAGATATTTTTTGGTGTAACGGTTTGAATTTCATTAGAAACCTTAAAGTTAATTCTGCTTGTGTGGGAGCACTCATGAGATCATAGACATATTGAGAAGTTACACCAACAGGACAAAATTAAGAGTCCATTACGCCAAAGTAGGCAATATCTTAATATATGAGAGTTCAGGTATATTACACTTACTTTGTTAACAATACTATTTGAGATTTTATGTTCCTTGTTTTTGCTCCTTTTATAGAATATTATTTATTTCTGCTCCTTTTGTAACTCCTATTATTGTCAGTGGCCTGATTCATGCTCACCGCTAAAAGAGAGAGTTGAGGAAAGAGAGTTATGAGCAAAGAGAGTAGGATGAAAATGAGAAAAATGTATTGTTTCTCTAATTCCTCTCCCAAGAAGATGATCCTTTTAATAACTGTTCTCTCTTGTTATTTGTACAAGGTTCTCGTGCATTGTAAAATAATCACACATTGGACACAAATCTCAAAATTTTTTCTTTTTCCATTTTTTTTTTTGCATTGGCATTATAATTAATATCATGTTTGGCATTGCCACTTTTAGTAACGATTATCTATGATGCCATTCGAGTAATTCTCTTGTTGGCCAGCTTAGCTTCTGGATAAACTGAAATCAACATTTGAGTGAGTTGATACTCTTGAATAGGTTGTTCTCTTGTTTGGTGGGGCGAATCAGGTCTCCTTAGCAGGCATTTGAATTGCTTTTGTTAAGTCAGACATTTGTATGGTGATCATCATAAAGTAGTTGTTGAACATAACTTGCTTATTGAGATAGTAGAAGTGGTCCAACCAAATTGTCTAGTCGGCATAGTGAATACCATTACACTTCAACCTGAACTAGTTCAATGAGTATAGTGCCATACAAAATTGTTTAATAATTTTGCTCATTCACAAGGACAATAAAACTCTTTGATTAGCCAAAAAAGTAGCATGATAGTATTACTTTATTTAATTTGCTCAATATTTTGATAATCATAATTTGAACCAAACTCGATTCCAGTTCAAATTATGTTTAAATAGTCATAATTTTAAATGAATTAAACACAAATTAAAATCTTACATGAGTTGAGTCTTAGCAAAAAAAAAATTACCTCAAATAAAGTCATGTTAGGCTCAATTCAATTCATTTGTAGCCTTAAAAAAACTTAATATGTTGTTTTAAGCCTTCAAATAATAACAAAATTTATATTTTAATAAATGCATTAAATTATCTATTTACTGTTGATTTTCCCATCTTCTAACTTATTATAATAACTATTGCTTTGGATATAATAAATATATTATTTTAAAAATATTTAGATGCATATCACTGATTCTTAATTTTTTTATATTTATATTATTTTATCTGTACATAAAAAATGCATTCCAATTTTAAGGGATTAATAATGTTTTCAAGGCGATATAAAAATCTTGATTTGATGCCATAAAAAACCTTATAATTATAACATAATTGATGTGATTCCAATTAATATGGTGATTATAAAATGGGTTTGAACATAATTAGGCCCGTGCAGCTTCTTCAGCGCCAACCGCCTCACAAGTCATCTTCCCTTCCAATCCCGACAGCCTCACCCCTCCACCCCTCTCGACGGCGACACTAATCCGCTCCATTTCATTCTTTTGATGCCACCGTCGCTTCCTCCCGGCGACCCCAATGGCATCTGCCCTTCCCTCTTCAGTCCTAGTTTCTCTATCCCGTTTTCTCTTTACCTTCTCTCCCAAACCCCTCACCACTTCTCTCGTCCCCCCACCATACTCTAACCTCGTCGATTTCTCTACCCTCGTCGATTTCCCCGTATCCACCGCTCCTCCACCCATCGGGATCCGCGAGCAGGTCTATCAAGTCCTCGAAATCCTCCCAAACGGCGCAACCTCCCCCAAATCCGTCTGCCGCCGGCAGCTCCTCAAATGGAGCGGCCTCCGCCTCCGAGACCTACGCAGCGTGGATCCCTCTCTCTTTCTCATTAACTCTTCCCCATCCCTACTCGTCCGCGACCATGCTCTTCTCCTCAACTTCGGCTTCCTCCGCGCCATCGTCATGCCTGATCGCGTCTTTCTATTCGACCACTACCGTCGCGCTGCCTCCGCCTTCCTTTGCATCTTACTCCCTCGTCTGTTAGGCGCTGCCATGCCCTTTGAGCTTGAGGTCATCGAAGCCGCCCTGATGTCCCAGATCCAGCTTCTCGAGCAGAGCCTCATGGCCGTGAAACCTCGCGTTGCCCAACTGCTCGACTTGTTGCCCTACCGACCCACTGCAGAAGTCCTTGAGGAGCTCCGCCTTAGCAAGCAGACCCTCGTCGAGCTCGGATCCCGCGCTGGCGCGCTCAAGCAGATGCTGCTCGGTCTGCTAGAAGATCCGCAGGAGATTCGCGGCATCTGCCTCATGGGGCGGGCCGGACGCGTGCTTCGCGGGGGGGATGGTGCTAGGATCGAGATGGAGGACGCTGGGGAGAGGCAGGTGGCTGAGGAGGAGGAAGAGGAGATTGAGATGCTGCTCGAAAACTATCTGCACCGATGCATGCAATGTCATGGCCTGGCGGAGCGGTTGCTGGATTCCGCAAGGGAGATGGATGATTCGATGGCAGTTAGTTTGAGCTCGAGGAGCTTGGAGGTGAGCAGGGTGGAGCTGTTGCTCCAGGTGGGGACGTTGTGCGTCGCTGTCGGTGCACTATCGGCGGGCGTTTTTGGGATGAATTTAAAGTCGTACCTGGAGGATTATGTCTTTGCCTTTTGGCTAACGACAGCAGGGATTTTGGTTTGTGCCTGGGCAACTTTCTTCGTCATATATTACTACTTGAGAGCGAGGAAGATTTTATAGCTATGGCTGGAAAGAAGCGGGCTGCTTTTGAATGTTCTTTTCCCTGGTATGCTATCTTGCCTTACCTTTTTGTATTGAAGGCATGAATGGGCGAAAGCGTGCTTTCTTGATGTGTAATTCAAGGTTGTCAATTGTCTGTAATTATCATTATGATTATAGATTTGTAATTCATCATTTAAGCTGTCAAATTCAGTTCAGATGTCTGTTATCAAATTCTTTTAAATCAGAATGGTTTTGAAAATGTATAATAGGTTCAATCCCACCCATCCAATAAGATTAGTGAATTGCATTAAATCAAATGGCATTTACATATTGTATGTATAAAATGTGTCAACACGAATCTCAAAGTAATTCAACCGCCGCAAGGAAAAGGTTGTGACAGGTGAGGGCCCATCGAGTCGACAAAGGTGGTCGATCGATGCGATCGTCATCGATCGTTCCAGAGGCGGTCGATCGACTGAGTCGACGGAAATGGTCGATCGTTGCGATCGCGCATGAGGCAGCTGATCGACCGAGTTGACATAAATGGTAGATCGATGCGATCGGGCCAGAGGCAGTCGATCGACCGAGTCGATAAAGGTGGTCGATCAATATGATTGAGCTAGAGGTGGCTGATCAACCAAGTCGATGAAAATAGTCGATCGTACTATCGGGCCGAAAGCGACCGATCAACTGTGTTGACGGAAAGATAGTCAACTGCAAAAAAAGACATTTTAATGCAATCTTTAAATCATGCAAAGCAAATCACATGAATGCAACCATATGCGAGAAATGAAATCATTCCTATGGCGAATTAGACTTATCTTGGCAATCTCACGGAGGACTTAGGCTCAAATGAATGAAGATGTATTCCAACGCCTTAATGCGCGAAATAACATGACGTCACATTTGTTTGCCCGACATAAGGTCGGGAATCTCCCGCGGGGAGGATTCTCCATGACCAAGAGAACGGAGATTGAAGGATTGTCTTCTTATTCTTGATCGGTGGGTTTCAAACGTTCATTTGAATGAAACCGCTAAGACAAACGGCGAGAGTAGTATGTCCCTTTTAGTTTATTTTTTGGGGCTAGGGTTATGGAGAAAATCTCATGAATCGTGGGGATCGCAAAGAAAATGACTTCTAGCCTAGTGGCTTACCCTAACATCAGCTTAGTTCAATTCCTCTAACACAAATACCTAAAGAGGCTTGCTAATAAAAGGAAAACCGAGTTTAGAAGATGTCTCACCGTCGCGGTGGTTGACGGAGCGTTCTCTGGGCTTGTCCATCCTGTTTTGCAGTGAGGATAATGAAGACGACGAGGTTCTACTTCTCCAAAGCAAGAAAGACGTTCTCCTTGCTGAAAGGTTCCTTCCCGAGCTCAACTCACAGGATGTAGTGAGAGAGGAAGAAGAAGAATGTGAAGAAGAGGAGAAGCCGATAAGAATCGGTAAAGAGAAGTGGAGAGAGGAGGCTGGCTCTTCTCTCTGATGGGGATGAGGAACTAACTTGCTCTCTGCTCCAAATGTTAGCTTGCTCGCTCGTTCCATTGGCCATAGATTCCGAATGGCAGCCTCCTTTCTCAACTGTTCTGCCCAAGAGAAGATATCTACTCAGCTCAAGGAAAGAATTGACAGCTTGCCACTTGAGGAATGGGCTACCCCTCCCCATTCTTATTTTTGGGTTAAGAACCAGGCAAAAATCTTTTATCCAACGGTTAATGGCAGATTTCCGGGGACCAACCGCTCGGAGCAAGTGAGCTGGCGTGGTCATGCTTGAGATCCGACGTAATTACGCCGAACTCTCTGTCGGGATGGCGTGGCCACGCTGCACTCGGGCGTGGTCACACCACCTTAAGAATGTTGCGATCTAGACTGGGCTAGCGCGTGGTAAGGTGTGGCCACGCTCATTTCTGGCGTGGTCACACCGGGTCCTTGCAATCTCTGTCTCCTGGAGTGCGGTTTGTGGGAGTTTTATGACTCGTTCGGACTATGAAAGGTCCCGAAGGACCGAACTATGACAAGATCCACTTCCTCCTTCCCCTTGTTCGCGACCGCTTCAGACATCAAGCTGTCGGTTGTCACTTTATATGATTCCATTTCGACATGGGCTTTTGATTGGAAATGCGTGATCGGCCAGGCGTGCATACCAAACCAGTTGAAATCCTGACAGAGGTCCGCATTTCCCATCTTGTTCAACATAGTCTTGAGGTGTTTAGACTGAACTACTTATGCTAAGAAGCAAGAGTATTCAAATTTAGCCATGCTTTGATACAGAATGATACCATTCTAGGACTCATGGAAGGTGTTTTGGGAAGCATATTTGGAGGGGATGTGGGTGTGCAATAGCAAAGGAATGATAATATGTGAGGTCGACGGTGTTTGGAAGGGGATAGTTGTTTGCCTACTATTCCTAATGAAAACAACATAGGGAACCATGAAACAATGATATGTGGATGGTGAAGAGGATCCACTACATATTCTCGACTAATATACAAACACATCATTTGCAAAAGGAAATGATACAACACTCTGACGAGCATAAAACAAAGAACATCTCTAAGCACAATAATAATAATAAAAGTCTCCTAAATTAGAAAAAGAACAACATACAGATAGTTCTCTGATAGCAAATAACTTAATTAGAAGACAGAGAAATAAGGAAAAACAAAATTATTAGAAAATTTGCTAAAACTGAAAACGGGGTTGAATCCCATGCAGAACTTCTTCCCGCGATCCCGCAAAATTACAGAATCCCACTCGGGATTTTAGCGGGATCAGCAATTCCACAGGAACCCATTGGACAACATCCGTTGCGCCCAAAGATTGTCAAACTGGCTCAAAGTAGCTTGTTTCAAGCTGTTTTGAACTGGCCTACTTGTCCATTGAGCACAACATTGTCATATGGGGGCACTGGTTTTGCTACTATTATCGTCACTATTGGTTGTTGAGGGGCTGCCAAACCCACATCCCCTTGTTATATTCGGCATGCGCAGCATGATATAAACCTTTGATCACTTAGGCACATACATATTACAATGTAACTCGTTGTGAGAGATGGGATGTTTTTGATCTGGGGCAAATTTTGATGCCAAATCCCTAAATCCAATCTACCTCATGATGTTGTCATAGTCTTCTAGCGATTCCAATTAATAAGCAACACACTTTCTTGAAATTTTACCTTCAATTATTTACTATTGATGTGCTTGCTGGATTGAGATTTGTGATGTGATATATTTGCATGGAGAATTCAAAGACATGAGATGCTACCTTCTATCTCTAGTATTCTGAGCAGGTCAGTAAACTGTAAAGCAAGTTACAGTTAGGTAAAAATAAAAAGGAAAATTTACAATTTACATACATACCGCAAAATTCTATGTATTTACATATCTGACACCCAAAGTTTGATATTTACAATTATAACATCTTAATGTTGTAAACCTATGCATGAAAAAGGTAAATTTCATTTTTAACAAGGCAGTGAAGGTGGAATTTTTTGGGTGATGTTAAAGATTTGAGTGGTATGCATTGCATATGAATGTTTAGGTGTTGGATACGGAAATACTTAAGAATTATGTGGTGTACATGTAAATGCCCCTAAATAAAAAAATAAAAGTTATAGCAGTGAGATTTGTCATTTTTTCATTATTTCTAAGTCGAAGTGACAAGGAAGAACCATAAAAAAGAGCAAAAGAATGAGGGGGCTGACTATCCTCCATCTAGGGGGGGCTACATTTGCTTCGTTCTCCCTGCTGGAAGCTGGTTTTATGCCTCTCTTAGAAAAGGGGGAAATACGTTCAAGACTGCTAGTGGTTGTATTCTTTTGGGAATGTCAGGTATAATATATTCATTTAAAGTGCCCTAAAAAAACTTTATAAAAAAATTTAAGTTTTATGCGCAGTTTGATTTGGTGCGTGTTTGATGTAAAATAAAATGTTTACATGCAAAGTGACTGTTTTGTACGGTTTGAAATAAAGTTGGAGAAGGACTAATTCATAGTCATTTCCCTCACACTTTACTTGGCTATCTTAGCACAAAATAATAATTTTTCTGAATAAATTTTCCACATAAATAAAACTTAGTTTGGAAGATTTACATACATACCACTCAATAC